TTAATGTCCTGGTGTGACCCAGTCAAAGCTCAGACCTCAATCCATTTGAGCATCTGTGGATATGACTTAAAAATTGCTGTTCACAAATGGTCCCCATCCAACTTGATGGAGATTGAGCAATTTTGCTGAGAAGAATGGGCTCAAATTACAGTGTAAAGATGTGCTAAGCTGATAGAAAGAGACTTACCCAAAGAGACTCACAGCTGTGATTGCTGCCAAAGGTGGTCTTAACAAGTATTAACTGTGGGGGGGAGGGGGTTGAATACTTATGCATTCAATTATTTTCTGTTTTTTGTTTTTAATTAATTTAGTAAAATGTCTGTATTTTTTTCACTTTGATGTTATGGAGTACTTCGTGTTGATGAGTGGCAAAAATTCACAGTTAAATACATCATGTTTTCATGCTGTCACACAATAAAATGTGAAAAGGTCCAAGGCAGTGTAGACTTTCTATAGGGACTGTACACAGCAGCCTTTTAATGATCTCATGCTGGGTTGTAGGAACTAATCTTCTGGGACTCAGATGGATGCTTCATTACCCTCCTGATACATAATTATAATTGATTAAATTTACTTGCATTTCTAAAGTTGTTTTTATCACAAAGGATTACATTATGATATACTGTATAAGAAGGCACCCACCTTTGAGATGCATAATAGCCCTAACACACAGATCATATAAAAAAAGTAAGAAATTGCTTCCTCAATTGTGTTAAAGGTGAATTTCTCAAAGCTGGATTGTACAAGACCAGAATGAAATGTATCTAAGTCAGAAAGTCCCTCAGGTCTCTTGCTCTAGGACTTCCCATAGAATATAGTTATGGGATCTTCAGTGATCGATCAGGATCTTGGTTATGTGAACCATATTAGAGCTGTGTCCCTGGTCCACATGCTAGAGGCACTGGAGAGGAGAGTGGTACCTTATGATTCACAAACATTATTTGTAACAGCAACCTTATTTTCCTTGGAAGTCTCTGACAGCCCAGCCTTGCTTAGCTGCCGAGATCTGAGCAAATCAACCTACAAGGCAGTAATGCTAAAATTATATTTTTGTGGTAAAATAAGTCACCATCATACAAAAGGATACAACAGGGCCTTTATTTCATTGTGTTGGGATTTGCTTTTGGCCTGTAATTGGCCAAAGCAGAGGTTTAGATATTTTCCACCCTAACATCATTTTATTAGTAAATAATACTACCTGTTGTGATAGTATATGTGGTAACAACTAAAGTAGCATTCTAGGCAGCAATAGAGCAACTGATGTTGGAGTAAGAACACAGCCATGTTTAACATTTGTTTCCCACCTGAAAACAACTGCATTAGCAGACCTTTGTGATGACAAGCATTTTTAGTCTCTTTTAGAGTAGGGGGATCTTTGAGTTCAAAGTTAACCAGCCTGTGCCACCCTAGTTTAATTAAACTCATCTGAAATTATTCTTTGTTTGAAAACACTTTTGAGCAACCATGATACTGGTCTGCCTCATGACCTGTAATCAGTTGAGTGTAATCAAATTAAAAAGTACATGACACATACTATATCTGGGTCCCAGCATTACCGGATTATTTACAGAATATTTTCACAGCTGAAGATCTTAACCTGTGAAAAATTTACCACACTGTGGCAGATTTAGATAACACCTTCATAAATTATTCCCTTTACATGAAGACGAATGGGGACACACAGAGCACTTTGAAACTACAGCTAAACAAACATTTACTAGCCACAGGAAGAATAAGAATTAGAATATTGCAACAGTTGGTCATTAATGATAAAGAGGCCAACTGCTACCCTGAAATTGAGGAAGACTACTACCAAAGATCTTGTTTTTCCTTCACTGTGGTAATCCCCAATGGCTTAGCTGAAAAATCAGAGAATGTGCTTGCTGCTAACTAGTCAGTTTGTGTTGTTGTATTAATTAGTCTTAAAAATGGAAGAGCAGCTAATGTATAGGAAATTAGAGAGCTTGGAGATGCCCTAATACAGTAAATACATTTAACATGAAAATATTCAGCACGTAATGCCAGCATTTAACTGACAATTCACATAGAAAAGAAGCACATAGTGTGGTTGACAGAATACACTTATATTATCTACCTTACATTTTGAACCACTTTATCTCATACAGGGTTAAGAGGAAGCCAGATTCTATCAAGAAGGCAGGATTCAACACAGGGCACACACAGACACAGACATACTCACGCCAGGGCCCATTTTCCCAGCAGCCAATTAACCTACAACAAACCAGAGCAGCTGCCGGAACAGGGGAGAACATACAAACTCCACACCGATAACAACCCAGGAATAGAAATCGGGGCCCAAGTGCTACTAACCAGTGCACCACTGTGCCGCCCTATAGTCATATAAAACCTTTTTTAAAATATGTGCTCGTATTCTAAAATTTCTTTGAAATTCTAAATTTAATAGTTTCCTTGGAAAAGTGAATTGCGAAGTTTTTAATCGTCATCTTCCAAGTATTGGATCTTTTTTTTCTGAAACAAGGTTTTCTGAATGGCTCTTGAACTGGATGATTGTCAATAGCCATTAAAAAAATTAGATGGTGCTGCTTGTAAATCCTCTGCCTCAAGGGGTTATGCATGAGATACTCTCTTTGAGCTTTGTTCCAGTCACTTTAGAACACTGCACCAATTACTACAGATGTCCTGCCATATTCTCATCTCACTTCCATTAAACTGTACTTATAACCACTGTGATAACTGTTCTCACATCACTGTTTATTTCCCTATAAGGGGTAATTTCTTGCATTACTAAACCATCTTTTTGTAATATGCTAAAATCAGTGTTCTTTGTCCCAAGTCCTTTGTTTCTGAAACTCAATGAATACTTCATTAAACTTCACATTAAACTAAATCTCTTCTCTTTTTCCTTTTTAATGTAGAGTAGATACTTTAATCATACAAAACAGGGATCAGTTACTGAATGCACTTGTAGCCAGTTTAAGGTTTATTTATTTGTCTTATAAGCAAAGTCTTATTTTCTATTTCATCCATAGATCCTTTCATATTGACTTTTTGAAGGAACAAAGTAACAAAATCATCAATTTTACCTTAAAAATAAACAGAGTTTAACGACAGGAAATTGATTCCAGTTGTCAGATCACGTATACGCATACGCATAGCTTTGTCTAAATCGAGTGGCTAAACATTAGATGAAGTGGAAGTTAAAATACAATAGACAATGGCAGCTAATGACAGTAATTCACTATTAAATTTACAGTACATTATGTTTCTTTTGTGGTCAGAACTGGATAAGACTAACATGAGCAAACAGTTTATAAAGCTAGATTTAGAAAAGAAATAGCTAACTATTTTAATAGCACGTGTTTATTTAAACATAAAAGCGATTTTAATTTAAACTCAAATCTGATTGTTACAGCAGCTTATCCTAGCAACATTTATAGGTGTTTTGTTTACAATAAGTGCAAACAGCCAAAGCTTCATGTTTCATTTGTGCTGTTAAAATTTTTAATGAGTCTACTGCCCCAGCTTTCTACCACAGTTGTTTAAAGGTGCTTTTATTATATTATTCTTTCTGCATAACATGATGTCTGTTCTCAATCTTCTCAAAAGACCCTGTTTGATTCCTTTAGTTCCTAAATTAAGCAGCAGATATTTTGTACAGAGCACTCGGTACCGAATGAATTACCATCACTTTCTTCCAAAAATGACTGCATGAGATCCAATGATCAACTACCGTAAATAATACCAACCAAACTGATTGAATGTTCTTGTATTTATCACAAACTGTAGCATTTCTGCACTCTAGCCTGATTACATCAGATCTCAATCTATAATCTGTAATCAAACTAATGTGCCGAGACATTAACATGATGTCCTGACGGAGGGGGGGCAGCATTGCAATGGTAGATGAAATTGGTTGCCTCCTATAAAATTCATTGAGATTCTTTGGGATAAAAAGCACAACAGAAAAGCATAGAAAGCAGTCTCCATACTGCAATCTTGGTATTGAAATTTTGGTACAGAGGGAAGAGTGCCCCTTAGTGGTCTACCATCTGCAAGTACAGAGGCAACCTGATTTTCCTAAGAAGTCTCCTACCCCAGTACTGACCAAGACCAGGTCCATAGGCTTTTGATATTTACAGTAACAGATTAGAGTAGAAGGTACTGTAACGATGCTGGTGATGTAGTCAGTGACACTTTTGATGGTAATGAACTGCATGTATTTCAGGATCTAAAGGAAACGTAATCACTTATTGGGTTTTCATATTTTATGTATCTGAAATTCCACTCAGTCATTCATGCTGACGGCGCAACATAGAACTCAGTCCTACCTTTGCACTCTGGAAGCTGACTTTTTTCTAATTCATAAGAAATAGTTATTTTCCAATCTCTTATGTGACAGAAATTATACAATAAAATATAATATAATAAAAACATTTTTCCAGATTGCATCCTGGTTGGTAGTCTTGAATTGGCTGCAATTTGGAAATATATTTTTATGCTTCCAAACATTTAGTAAATGTATTTAATGTAATATAATAACACAATAATACAATCTAATACAATTATATTCACAAAATATTGTCTTGCCTTATCTGTTTATGTTTCTGTGCTCTTCTGGTTTTATGGTGATATTCTGAGAATAGATTGTGTCTGCACTCTTCAGACACATGAAACGCATGTTTGATGTGTCTGAACAGCACAAAGCACCAGTAGTACTCTTGTAAGTATGCTGCATTCTGATGTGTCCTAATCATGTGGGCTGAAAATCGGACCCTTTTTTCTGACACGAAGCTGAAACTGCTAAAAGCTGTTATGCAAGACACAACCTCTAGGTGCATCTGTCCAGCCAATTACCCTGGACATATGCTGTCAGAATGAAGCCTTCTGTGTGCACCGTAGACTACATCAAAAGCTTCCATGTCTTTGTGTGTGCTGCAGTACCAGTGTAAGTCGTCTAACAGTGAAGAGCTGCTGCTTTTAAATAATGCACGTTCACATACAGAGTATACAGATGTGAATCATATTACATGTTGAATGCCTGACATACACTTCTGCTTGACTTGGTTTGTTTTGTATATAGGAATAGCTGATCTCTTCATTTACAAGGACTTTGGGAATCTAAATGTGCAGATTTTAAGCTCAGTTAAGTTTGATTGTTTTCTATTGAAAGGATAAACTCTGTAATGTGAAAATTGATTTTTCTAAGTGGAACAGTTTTCTCCTCTACTAGAACTGCAAGTTTTCAATGTGGTCTTCTGAAATGGATGATAAATATACATCCAAGCTGTCTCCGGCTTTAGACTATGGAGCAGGAACGTTTCTGATAGTAATCGGTAAGTAAATATTTGGATTTTCTTTGGAGATCATTAAGATTGAGGTCCATAAGGCTTAAACTGAAGTATTTTAAGTCATAAAAGAATATCTTTTTAAAATAAAATATCTATTCATTGGAAAAAAAACTGTAAATCCACAATTAGTGCAATACAATATTTAAACATTAATGTACAGTATGAGAGCATTTTCTGCTTCAATTTAAAGTCAAAAGTTCTTTCTATTAATGATAAGAAACAATGGTAAGACATTTTAAGTATTAAAATATGTTGTTTTTATTATTGTTATAAGGGATCGGGTCAGCTTACAGACCCGTTTCCATTTTCATTCTTGTAATGTAAATGCTTTTAAACATCAAACCGGACATGGACAAATATTTTATTCCTAAGTAACTTAGAGACTTAAAGAACTATTTAGGCTGTTCCTACTGGTTGCTGCCTGTTGGAATTTTACTTCTGTGCTTTATTACTGATATTCTTTAACATTTTCTAGTGACAAAAGAGAAAAGCATGAACTTTAGTAGACTTAAATGCTTTCTCCAATGTAATGTGTTTAGGTTATTCAAACCTCTCTTTCTAGCCAGCATCAGACTTGGAAAAGTCTTAGAAAATTCAGCTCAAACATTTAAGTTCAAATATTTAAAATAAATGGTACAATATTTTGTTTCATACTGCGATTCCCCTGAGGCTGTTTGGCCAGCCTATTTTTTTTCTAATAGCTATAAATACTGATAAATAATTCTTTCTCCTTTTTTATTTTTACAATATACTGTGCACTCTACAAGTTTGCATCATCAGTTTTGATGATCTTTTGCCACCTGGCCACCAGCTGACACCATTCACATTTCCAAGTAAAATCTGAGCTCTAAGCATAATCTTTCTCTTCAGCAAATTGTCAATATATTGTTAATTCACATGTCTGAGCATAAAGTCTTCATAAGGGTTGCAGAAAGAAACATTGGTGATTAATGTTCTGAGATTGTCATTGGTGATTAGTGTCCCTGATGTTAGTTTTATGTTTTTTCATGTTACGTACAGTATTTTGGTATCTATAGTTTACCACTGATGTGAAATGTGAAGTGTTTACCTGGTGTTTGTTAAAAAAAAACACATCAGATAAAAATATCAATGGAAGAATGAGACAGAATGAGGAATTAGTCCCATGAAGGCAAAAGTGCTATGGAATATATGATGTCTAATTGCTCAAGAGTTTTCTTTTTACATTTTCTAGACAAATTCTAGACAGTAAAAATGCTGCTGCTACATATAACTTATTTTATTACAGAGGAACAAGTAATAGGTTTATTCCATGCTGAAAAGAGAAGAGAGAAAACATAACATTTTGGCACCTGAAGAAGGCTTCACAGCCGAAACGTTGTGTTTTTCAGCATGGAATAAACCTTTTGTTCCTTTGCAGACAACGCATGCTGACGCAGCTACCCACCTGAATTATTTTATTACATATAACTAATTGATTTTTTTTCTTTTGAATCTTGCTCAGCTTGTATAATTTACTCAGCTTTTAAGAATTATTTACTTTTTTTCTGATAGTAAACTCATGTTTTATTTCCACTTTTTCCACAAAATGTTACATTCCACTTGCCATGTCTAGAAGAGGATTTACAGTAAATGGAAGTTATTATCTAAAGTTAA